AGTTATAAACGATGAAAACAAATTTTTTATTTCCTCTTTAAAATCATTCAGTTCAGAAGTTATGTCATCTTCCCTTCCTCGTTTAAATCTCTGTGTGATATAGCTCGATTGTGTGCTATCAGTAAGCTCGTTTATGCGTGAATCCGAAACGGATTTATCCATATAGGGATTAACTTGAGGAATAGACGTTGTTGCAGTTGCTTTCTTAGGTGGTGGACTGCGTTTAAGAGGCATTTTATTATATCTGTATAACTTGGTATTTGCCACCAGGCCACTTTTCAAAAATGCCTATCGTTTAATATTGTACTAGGGCATAAGAAAACAATAGAAAGTTAATAAAAACGCAGAGGATATAGTTTCAGAAGTAACTGTTGTTTGTACTATTTGCTCAATACCAGGGTAGCATAATCCGAAAGCGATATCAGAAAAATTGAAGAAAATACTCGGTTTTATAAAGTGACAGGCGCCTCAATTTGCTGCTATATTTCTTCCGGCTATCAGATGTACCAGGGTATCATAAATTCAATGACTGTTTTGTGAAGAAAACAATAGTTTGGTAATAGTCACTAAAACTGTGCCAAAACAACCCTGAGCAACAAAAATGAAAAATCGTACCTTCCAATTTTGCGCTTGTGAACGGAGATTAGGCGTGTTGATTCATAATGTACCAGGAGCGCACGCGTAGACGTTATGTGTAGGTTTCTTAATTTTATGCACTCCTATTTATTACTTGAGTATTTATTTTATTCAATTTCAATTTAAGGATTTTAATTAATTAATGTAAGGGTTTACAGACGACTACTCGTAGACGAGGTCCGAGGGGAAGAGGAAGTTGGTGGCACTATAATATAATATATAATAATAATGTCAGTGCTTTATATTTGTAGTGCTGTGCTAATAATAACAGGCAATAACAGTATCGTAATCTGTTCTTATACAGTTATACTTTATAAAAGAATACGTTTTGTTTTTCTTTTTAAGAATTTGAAAATAATGTACTATAAAATAACTTTTATTAAATATAAAAATAAAACTACGACCAAACCGAACGCGCCAAAGAAAGTAGCATTTTTATATTTAGGTTGAAAATGGTAACCCCAAAGGGCGTTATGGGCCGCCATTTTGTGACGCTAAAACAGTCGTCTGTTGTCGTTTCGTGCGCATAGACCTCGTTCTTCAAGTGTTTTCGATCTGTTTTTATTTGATTACCCGGCTTTCGTTTAATGTTGTTTCTGCTTTTAAACTGACATCGGCGCTAAATCGGAATTCGATTGTGTTTTGTATTGCGTTCTCTTTACTTTTGGTGCATAATAATTCCTAAACGTGGACAAACATTGAAAAGTGGAGCCCGTGAGTTAATCATCAAACTGCAAGATTACTTTGAGCGGGAGCGGCAAAATGGCGGACCCCTGTTACCTGTCGAACAAATACAAGAACACATCTCTCAGGCGCTTGGAGTTAGCAAACGAACGATAACAAATATTAATAAAGAAAAGTTCGGCTCTACTGGCACGGAAGATAATATTTTACGTACTCCGAAGAAGAAACGTAGAACTAAGCCCGTGACAGATATTGACACCTTTGATGCCGATGCAATCAGAAATCATATATATGGTTACTATTCCGGAAATGAATATCTCAACAGGAAGAAGCTTTTGGCATCGTTAAGAGAAGCTGGACTGTTTCATCATCATCATCATTACATCCCTTCACAAGTCCACTGCTGAACATAGGCCTCCCCCAAGTAATGCCACAAAGCACGGTCCTGAGCCACCTGCATCCATCGACTTCCTGCATGACTTACCAGGTCGTCACTCCATCTAGTGGGGGGTCGCCATACACTACGCCTACCGGTACGAGGCTGCCACTCGAGAACCTTTCTTTCCCATCGGTTCTTCGAGTTATATGGCCGGCTCATTGCCACTTCAGCTTACTAATCCGTTGGGCTATGTCGGTCACTCTGGTTTTACTGCGGATATCCTCATTTCTGAGTCTATCACGCCGAGAAACTCCAAGCATATCCCTCTCCATAGCTAGCTGAGCGACCTTGAGCGTCCTCATACGGCCAGCAGTGAAGGACCACGTCTCAGATCCGTAAGTCATCACCGGTAACACGCACTGGTTGTACAATCTAGTTTTCAGAGTTTGAGGTAAACCTGACGAGAAGATGTGTCGTAATTTCCCGAACGCTGCCCAGCCGAGTTGAATCCGTCGATTGACCTCTCGGTCGAAGTTAGACTTACCTAGTCGGACTATTTGTCCCAGGTAAACGTACTCGTCAACAACTTCGAGCATAGTGCTCCCAACAACTACCGGCATAGGTGTGACATGGACATTAAACAGGGTCTTTGTTTTGTCCATGTTCATCTTAAGACCTATCCGTTGGGAGACACTATTGAAGTCATTGAGCATAGTGCTAAGGTCCTCTAGCGATTCTGCCATAAGGACTATATCGTCGGCAAATCGAAGGTGAGTGATGTACTCGCCATTGATGTTAATATCCGTATCCTTTCCAGTCCAGTAGATTGAAAACGTCTTCAAACGCAGCGGTGAAGAGTTTCGGGGATATAACGTCACCCTGTCTTACACCTCTCTGCAGTTGGATAGGTATCGAACTCTGGTTCTGTACTCGGATAGCCATCGTAGCCCTACTGTACAAACACTTCAGCACTTCGATATACCGACAGTCAACTTGGCACCGCTGAAGGGACTGAAGCACCGCCCAAATTTCAACGGAATCAAAGGCTTTCTCATAGTCCACATACGCCAGGCAAAGTGGCAGATTGTACGCTTCGGTCTTCTGTACAAGACGTCTCGTCTCGTGAAGGCGACGTCTCTTCTGTGCGAGACGATTCGTAATGACTCTCGAAAACAGCACGTAGCCGCGTCTCAGAAGGGAAATCGGTCTGTAGTTCTTCAAGAGAGCGTTGTCGCCTTTCTTAAAGAATAAGACTACCGCACTTCTGCTCCACGCTTCCGGAGTAGTGCCACCATGGAGGACGGAATTGAAGAGCTTCTGAAGGACTTCAAGTACCGGTGTTCCACCCGCTTTCAGAAGCTCCGCTGTAATTCCATCCTCGCCTGGGGCCCTGCCATTTTTAAGGTGCTGGAGAGCCATTCTTATCTCGCTCAGACTGACGTCCGGGATATCATCGGAATAGTGTCGGGTAAGGCTTGCTCTTGGTGTGATGATGTGTACAACTGCCCATAGAACCTCTCAATCTCACTCAAAATCTCAGGTGTCCCGGAAACGATGCTGCCACACTCAGTCTTCAGCTTTGACAGTTGGCTCTTTCTGGCAGACAGATCTCTGGCAAAGACTTTGGAGCCCTGGTTCTGCTCGATCGCTTCTTTAATACGAGCAGTATTAAAGTTGCGTAAGTCTCGCCGCATACATTTGGACATCTGTCTGTTCAGTTGCCTGTATGCTGTCAAATCTGTTGACGATTGCAGCCTCATCTCCCGTCTAACAGCCATGAGATTAAGAGTGTGATCGGAGAGTTTTTGTGTTCTTCTGCGGCGGGTCTTGCAGAACTTAGTTCCGACCGCATGGACAGTTTCCACGAGCTTGTCATTCATATCGTCCACTGCATTGCAATCCTCTAGGCACCGAAAGCGGTTTTGTAACTCGAGCTGAAAGGTTTCGGGATTCTGGATTAGAGCACGAGGGGGACGGAGCGTTGACTTCATTAGACAAGACCTCTCCAACTTAACGTTTAGGTTTAGTGTGCCTCTAACCATTCGGTGATCGCTGCCAGTTTTCACCCTTGCGATCACTGAGACATCACTGATCAGTTGGCGTCTGGTCGTCATAATGAAGTCAATCTCATTTTTTGTCGAACCGTCTGGGCTCTACCAAGTCCACTTCCTGTGGGGCCGCTTCTGGAAGAAAGAGTTCATCATAAAGAGCCCCTTTTTTCCATAAGGTCGACCAGCTGCTGGTCCCTTCGGTTCCGTTGCCCCACTCCAAATTTCCCTACCTTCAGCTCACCGCTTTCTCTTGTGCCTAGTTTTGCGTTGAAGTCTCCCATCAACATCGTGTAGTGGGTTTTGGAGGAATGCATGGCTCTGGAAATATCCTCATACATTTCCTCCACCTCCTCATCGGGATTTGCCGAGGTTGGTGCGTAAACCTGTATGACCTTCAGCGAATACCGTTTGGTGATTCTGAGTATCAGGTACGCGACTCTCGTCGACACACTCCCAATCTTTACAACGTTGCTGACGAGAGACTTGTGGACGATAAATCCGACACCTCCTTGGGACAGATGGTCGCCCTCCCGGTGGTAGAACAAGTTGCCGGACTCGAGGATTGCCGTGTCCTCCCCCTCTTTTCTCGGACCTCTGATAATCCAATAATATGCCAGCGCAACTTGTCTACCTCTTCTTCCAGCTCCAGTATCTTCTCGTCAGTCCTCAGGGTGCGTGCGTTATATGTTGCCAGGTCGAGTGGTCGTAGGTGGCAACCGAACCTTCACCGGAGATTCGTAGCACCTCCTGCCCCGCCGTTACCATGGTCGCCACCGTAGCGAAGAATAGCGGGGCCGCCGGGGACTGGGGGCCGTTTTTTGCGTCGTTATTTATGGGGGGATATTTGTCATAGTTGCCACGCTTGGCGAGCGGGTTGGCAACCGCAGTTTTTTATTATATCACAGTTGTTATCCTCCCTCCCTCTGTCGCCTCTTACGACTCCCACGGGAAGATATTGGGTAGTGGATATTCTCAACCGCCACTACACGGCAGGACTGTTTAGCGGGGGTAAAACTGCTTTAACCAAAATCTTAAAAGATATTGGTTTTTCGTATAAAAAAACAGACAAAAGAAAAATTTTATTAGAACGATACGACATAATTTGAAAACGGATAAGTTTTTTGAGAGAAGCAAAAAATATTGATAACTGGGATAATGTCGTGTTCATTGACGAGAAACGGCTAAACGCCAATCACACGGTTTCCCGTTCTTGGACGGATGATACACAAGCGTCGACGTCGAAAGTACCAATGGGTAAGGGTGCCCGTCTGATAATATGCCACGCAGGTTCTGCAAAATATGGCTTTGTGGAGAACGCGTTACAGGCATTTCAATCAAAAACCACAAATGACTACCACGAGGAAATGAATGCCACTACATTTAAAGAGTGGTTCCAGAACGTGCTTTTGCCCAGCCTACCAGAGCCTTCTGTAATATTCATGGATAATGCCTCCTATCACTCGGTTCAAATACAGAAACCACCTACCCAATCTAATAATAAAGAAGAAATGGTGGCTTCGTTACAAGCAAAAGGCATTGACGCAAATATGCAGATGCTAAAACCAGAGCTAATAAAATTATTTAAAGAAAATAAAATGGCAAATTTGCGATACGAAATCGATGAACTGGCTCTGGAGTACAGTCATTGCGTTCTAAGAATTCCACCGTATCATTACCAATATAACGCGATTGAGTTAATCTGGGCTCAAATAAAAGGTTACGCCACCCGCCACAATTCTTCCCCGCCATTCAGCACGATAAAGATGATGAACCTATTAAAAGAAGCCTGCGGGGAAGTCACAAGAGATGACTGGGCAAAGGTTGTTGAGAAGACTAAAAACCTGATTGTGGAACATTTTGACCGAGATATCAGGATTGATTCTGTTATTGATAATAATATAGTTATACATGTAGGCGAAGATGATGACGAAGAGACCACCTCCTCAAGCGAATCGAAGTCTGATTAATATTCTGTACGCACATTCAATTCAATGTACTTTATTGCATAGAAATACAGATTGTAACTTTGTAACAAAGAATAAATAAAACCAATTTTATTATAATAATATTACCTTTTTTTTGGTTTCCACTTAAATTACTAAAATATAAATTTTAAATGATTCCGCCAATTTAAAACGAAAATAATCTTAAAAATAATGCGGCAGTTCATTTTGGAGGAATGGTAACGAACTCAGTGTTATGTTGTGCCCATCACTAGTCGTGACTAACTGATAGGTGTCAGGAACGCATTCTCTGAACGGCCGAACTATAAGTGCCCCCTCCTAAGACATGAACGTCCCGAGCATGTCTTAGGAGGGCGCCTAAGTTGACGTCTGGCACTAGCGCCATCTAGTGTCGGGTAACAGAGCGAGGAGAGCTTTCCAGAAAATGACATGACTAATCTTTTAACCAACAGTGCCATCTAGTATCGAATTGAAGAACTAAGCTTTCTAGAAGCCTCACACTCGAACTTTCGGCGCCTGGTCGGTTGGTGCGCGTATTTACTTGAATATTCTGGATGTTTCGGTAAAAAGGTGTATTTAAAGGCTCTGCAATACGCGATCGGGGCAGTATTGAATTTGGTGAGACAAGCGAAGCTTCGGAGCGAAATAAAGTGAAGCAGTGTGATTAATTATTAGTGTTTTAAATTTTAATTGGTGTAAAGAAAATTAAAGTGTAAATTTTGGTAATTCAATCGGCAGTTTTTCTGTCACGAACCTCAAGCTCGTAACAATATTAAACCTTATGTTGGTCATATCATTTAGTATCCACGCAACTGTTGTAGTAGGAACGACGTTTTGCTATTATGATTTATCAAATAGGTAATATACATAATATATCATTTTTAAAATACATTAAAACATTTTAAACTATTTTTACCTACAATTAAATATACTAAACACTAAACAAAAACAATTTCAACAAGTATTTACATAAAACTATTTATGTAAACAGCGTTAAAATACTTTTACATTGAATCGTCTACAACGCGCTAGCCCCGACTGCGTATAACGCCCGGGGCGCCTCGCGATTTTAGGTAATTATTTCACGCAGGTAGCAAAAGTGACAAAGGCCTGCTAACGTATACAGGTGTAACAAAAATGCGTGGTCATAATTTAAAATCTGCTTCTGCCCATAGAAATTAACAATTTCTTCAGGAAAGTAACAGACAATTCCAAAAAAAAATATTAGACCTCCTATACTAATTTCGATTAGCTGATAATTTCGATTACTTTTTTGACACATACATTGGCCAAAAGACGTGATTCCAGACCGTATAAATAAAGCATGAATGAACACGTAATACAATGTCAACAGAACGTCTTTTTTTTTATTTTTTTTTTATCCAGTACTTCATATGATTTAAAATTAACAACATAATTCTAGTTTTTATTTATTAAAGCAATCTTGTAATATACTTTATCTGGGCATTTCTGGGGCACAGATGGGCATTGTTATTTGTATTATTATAGTCCAATATGTTTTCGAAATTGACTTTGGCTTCCTTGAAGAAAGTTTTTAATTTTCATGGGCAGAAGCGGTACCTATCTAAAGTATGAGCACGCATTTCCATTACACTCTGTATAATTCCGAGCCTATTTAGGAAATGTGTAAAATTAATTTATCATACAGACGACATATCCAATTACATGTGACTGCGAATCCATAGAGCTAGTAGAATCACAGGCCTACTTTGGACTCCTGATAGGTAGTCGCATAAATTGGAAAGAATATTTTGAGCATATGTGTGATAAACTTCGTGGTATGCTTGCAAAACTTTCTGTAATTTAAGGTAAAATTCCGTATAAAATACTTATACAGCTATATAAATCACTGGTGGAGCAAAATTAGCATATAGTTTGTCTTTTGGTTTCTAGCTGTGGCAGAACATACAGATCACATGTAGAACATATTTTATTTACTGCAGTTAGGTATTTTAAAAACTATAGCTATATACTATAACCTTTTTAGTCTTTGTAAAATTATACCTATACACGAGTGACACTACCCGATTTAAAGGTATACAAAAAGTACTCTGTGCTCCCGATTATACTATGGTTCATAAAAGATCTCTGCGACAGCTGTCAGTAAAAATCACGCCTATGAAGTCCTGAATTTCCGTAGACAGAGAAACCAATAGACTAATGATTAGCGTGGCTTCGAGTGAGAAAGGACGAAAACGTACTTTTAGGTTATACAATAATGTTTATCACTTTTAAACATATTTGGATAAAATTTAAACGTATATTCATATAGTTCTGTAACGAAATTTAAAATAACAATTGAATTTTATGCGTAATACCAGATAAAATGTACTATACTTACTAGTGAAATGATATACCGGTGAGTTTACGTTCACTATCACTTTTACATCCTAAGACACTACATCTAACAATTTTAAAGCTTTTAATTGTACTAAGAACTGAACTGAACAAGATTCACCAATCTTAAGCTCACAAAATATTTTTAACCAACTTGTAAACTCTTTAGACCACCACGAACTGTCAAAGTTTGTTTCGCAAAATGTAGTTTGCTAAACAAAAGAGTCTCGTCCGGACCGCGCCAACGAGCGGTCACGTCCGCCGGTCGTCGACTCCCGCCCGGGTGGGAGAAGTACAGCGCGTCGCTTCGCAGTGGGTGCGCGCGCTGTGGGGCCAACTCGGCTTGCGTCGAGCCTTGAGGACGCCCCTACCCCGCCCGGGATGAAGATTACCTAACGCTGCGCATCACCTACACGCTGGGAAGCGAACTCCGAAGGCCCGGCGCGCCCAAGTGCGCGCGCCTGTTGATGACTTCGGCTCCGCGTCGAGGTACTCTCCGCGGGACCTTGAGGTTGCTGACCCTTCGGCAGATTCCCTTCCCAGAGGCGCGAGACACGCCAGCTTTTTTGCCTAGGAATACCAGGCCTTCAGCTAGAGCCAGGAAGGAGCACTGGAGGTCCGGAGCAGCTGGAACGCCCTCCTGTCGGCAAGATTGGCCCTGCGTCGACTCCCATCCTCAGGACTCCGCGGGGCTTCGAGACGGCCGACCCTCCGGTAGCACCGACCTGGTGGCGCGCAATACGCCAACCAAGATAGCCAACGATGCCGTACGGCTCCCAAAGACCGGCTCATTGTTATGAGTCGTGAGGATCACCCGGGTAATGGGGGTTTCCCCGAGGCCCGAAACCTGCATGGGATGAACAAAAGTAGTCCCATAGCAGACGACAATCAACGCTAAACAAAAAAAAAACCGGCACGGAGAAAGGGACAAACAATCACATCGCTCTGTCTCATTTCTATGCATGACGTATACATAAATCTATCTTTTTCGTGTGCGAATGCGAAAGAAGGCGTCAATTTGCGTAGACAGAGAAAACTATAGACAAACTGACGCCTTCTTTAGAGGCCTTTTTTCGCCAACTGTAGAGTTTGCTAAACAACTTTAACAGCGTAGCGATTTAAGGAGTTTACAAGTTGGTTTAAGTGAGAAAAAAGTGTTTTGTGAGCTTAAGATTGGTGAATCTTGTTCAGTTCAGTTCTTAGAACAATTAAATTTTTTATCTAAATGTGTTAAAAAGTCATAAAGATTATTGTATAACCTAAAAATTCGTTATCGTCCTTTCTCACTCGAGGCCACGCCGATAATTAGTCTATAGGTTTCTCTGTCTACGTCAATTTGTCTATAGGTTTCTCTGTGTATAGCCCGTTCACCGTAAGAGGTCCTCTGCTGTGATGTTGGCACTATTGCTTGTCAATCTGTTGTCAGTTTGTGATTATAACGCTCGTTTTTGTGTTATTATTTAAAATATTCTGAATTAATTATGCCGAAACCATTTAGAAGCAGTGCAAGAGAGGTTGTGTTGAAGGTGCGTGCCTTTTGTGAGAGAGAAAAGGCAAACCAAGCCCCGTTAATTCCACTCAATCAAGTGCGAACTCGCGTCGCCGCCATGACAGGTTAGTAAAATAGGGATGCCAGCTTCATGCAAAATGCCTTTAGTATGGGTAATAATAAGAAATTACTAACATTACGAATTAAAATAAAAAAGTACGTATATGAGTTAATTTAATTTATTTTTTTATGATAATGTCTGTATTTGTATTTTATAAATATTTAATTTTATAAAATGATACAAATTTGATGTCTATTTCAGGCATGTCGGAGAAAACCGTGAGTAGAATATCTATAGAAGGTGAAGCTGCTGCCTCTACATCTCAGAAAATCAAGTCTCCTGGAAAACACCGTCAAAGACGTAAAATGGTGGATCTTGATGATTTCGATTTATGCGCAATAAGAAACAAAATCCATGAAATGTATACTGTAAGAAAAGTTGTTCCTACTTTAAATAAATTACTTGTAGAATTAAAGAATGACATAAACTTTGGTGGAGGTCGAACGACTTTGTGGAAAATTTTAAAACAAATTAGATTTCAGTATAAAAAGTGTGGTTCGAAACGGAAAATTTTAATGGAAAGGCAAACATACATTCACGCATCGTATGCAGTGAAAAAATGTTGGCAAAAAGATGACGAGGACGGAGTACTAATAAGTGATTCTGTTGGAACGCGGTGGATAATTATTAATGCAGGTGGATAAATAGGGTTTATTCCTAATGCTCAATTGATTTTTAAATCACTACCATGACGACATGAACAGAACCTCACCGACCCTCAAGACCTCACAGGTCTGTCAACTTGTTAGAAAATGGCTAATGACGTTAACATATGAGGAAACTGAGGATATAGTCAAACGTTACTAGCAGAATACACACACACACGCGCACACACACACGCACACACACACACACACGCGCGCAGCACACACACACACACACTTTCAAGTGAAATTACAATGCACTATGATAATTTCAGTATAAAAAATATGTCTTTTATTTTGTTAGACTGTGTACGATTCTCTAGTTAACTTGCGCTCTCGGACCCCAAGATACAGGATTATCCTAGTTTGGGGTCCAACGGAAAATATTTGT